ACTGAACCACTTCAGGTCCAAGGAGAGTGCAGTTTAGGGCCCAGCCTCCTGAGAGAGCACTCCCCAGATAGGATCAAACACCAAAGAATTAGGTAAGCCACCTTTAGCAATGAAAGGGGGAATGTGCACACAGGTTGCCCCCCCAGGGAACAATGAGCAGCAACCAGACTTACTAACCAGGTCACCCAATCCTGGACCGAATTAAAAACCCTTTTAGAGGACATGCAGCGTAATGCAGGAGAGCTCCCCACAGTATGGTTGGAATGTGTAGCTTTAAATAACGGATCAGAGGTAGCAAATAAAGAGGAAGTAAAACACTGAGTTTTGAAATAGACTTAACAGTTTGTAAGAAGTGTTCCTCCAAATTCTGAAGGAAAGAATACCTGCCGACCATCAAGCCATACTGGCCCTATGCATTTTGGCTAGAAACATATATACAGATCAGCACGCTGAAGCAGAAAAGGGCTGCCAAGCAACTTCTTAGCAAATAGATAACGACAGCCTCTCCGGCTGGAATCGCAGGCAACCCAAAGATGTTTCACAACACATGAGTGGGGGCCTACCAGAGAAAAAACATAAACAGTTAAAACCTTTCCCTCACATGCCATTATAATTGGCTTGAGGGCGTGGGAGAAGGTAACTTAAAAGCCACTCTAATGTCAACTGGTAGAAATTGAATTTGAAGATGTAATCACTAGAAGCTAAATCTGCCCTACCAATGAGACATATTCTGCAACATAATCTCCTTACAGAGCATGGGCAAGTGATCCACCCAAGAATCAGCAGCATATATCAACTGCTGCAGCATGGATGTTATGAAAACCCTATACTGAGAAGTTTAAAATTAGTAATAGCTGACTGCAATAATACACATTCGGATTTACATACTGAAAAGAATTAGGAGGTGTGGGGGCTAATTGAAAAACCCACTCTCCTTACCAAATTAATACTGAATAAACTTGTGTCATTAGGAAAAGTCATTTAGAAGGAATAAGGAAAGTAGGACAGACATTGGAAAGTTACTAGAAATGAGAAACGTTTTCTTTGGAAGAACGAAGCAAGTGATTTGAGGGTATGTGAAGGTGAGAAGTGACTGCATGGGAGAATGGATGGAATTAAGCGATTGTTGTTATATATGAAAGGACACCTGCTTTAAAAATGACTCCTTGTTTCTTGCAGCCTCTTTTAATAATCCAAGCAAAGAAACAAATCAAGTTAAATATTTGGCTACAGACACTTTGTTAAATCTATTAAAGGGAAAATAAAGAATTCGATTGACACTTAACTGGTTAACTGTATAAAAGAATGAAATCTATACATTCAATCCTTAAGGTTAAATTTACTCTTTAAGAAAACAAACAATTGTTTTAAGAATCCAAGCCCTGAAACTTCACTGTGTTTCTGTTCAAGGCTGAGTTGATAGCTTGCTTTCAGATCCAAGGTTGTGTGTGTCTGAAAACTGCCTGTCTGTTGTGGAAGGGGGGGGGGAGCACTGTCCCCCATAAGTAAGCCTGTAACATTGCATGTGATTCTTTTCAGGAAAATAAAACCTTTTTGCTTGCTGGAATAGTAACTAGCAAGCATCTTGTTCTAAGCAAGAGTTTCTATAGCAGTAAATCATCTGAAGCTTCACATTAAAGAAAAAAAGTCTAGTCTGCAGTACAAGAGGGAAACTGAGGCATGCCACTGTTGAGGAGGGCTAGCAACTCTGAGGTAATTCAAGGGAGTGGAAGGTCACGAGTACCGATGAAGCGCCCTCGTTCTCGGAAAGTTGCAGCTCACTCGCACACGAAAGTGGTAAGGAACTAGCTGTAACTGGTTCCCCTAACAGATCTTAAGCAGTATTTTAAGTTATAATAGGCCACCCCGACGGAGGTAGAAATGTTTTCTTCTCTTTCAGATCATCAGAAAGCGCTGGTGCCAGCTGAAGAAAAACAACAAACAACAACAACAACAAAAAAACCCCATGGTTCTGTGTCATGACATAATAAGTTTGTGTTCTGTCTTCTGTCCAAGTTTGTCTTGTGTGTCTTAATTGTAATACATATTGCAAATGTCATTGTGTGTAGGATATTGGTGTTTTTATGAAAGGATATTTTAAGTAAAGCAGAAGCATGAATTTAAACAAAAACAAAATTAATTGGGCCCAATCAATCAATTGGCAATCAATTGGCAACTTTAAAGTTTAGTGAAAAGATAATAGTGTAGTAATTGTTAAGCTGGGGGAATGTTAACAATGTCTACATAGGTGAACAAAAAGAAACTGGAAAGAAGCAAGAAGTGCGCCACGTGAACAGAAAAACTAGGAGTAGGGTACCAACTCCTCCCCACTGGATTGGCTTTGCTTTAACAGCCACACTAAATTCCCTTTTATTAATGTCATCTAACAACAATAGTCTGGAATCTAATCAGTATTTTGTATTATGATAAATATCGAGAAAACAATCCACAGGTTATCCCCACCCCTATTCCCTATCCTTTTTTGTTTGTAAACAGGAATTTTGTGTGTCAGATGGAAACCAATCGCCATAATGATGGTAACTTGCGTATAACCCCATTTTACTGGTCGGATGGAACTGGCCTAACCCTCGTAAAGGCAAGTGATGGATCTAGGCCCATGGTCACCAACCAGTAGATCGCGATCTACCAGTAGATCTCAGGGGCTCCAAGAGTAGCTCTTGAGCCCTCTCTGAACTGCGCACCTGCGCAGTACATTTACATTAGATTTCCTCATGTAATGTAGGCGGGGCTTCAAGGAAGGGGCGGGGCGGTAGATCTTCGCCTGTTCTGAGACTTAAAAAGTGATCTTGGCTGTAAAAAGGTTGGAGACCACTGATCTAGGCTCTAGTGTAGCAACCATCCTCACCTTCACTTATTGTATCCAGGACACTTTTAGCTTTGTGGAAATCAAGCTCACTCTCAGCTGCCCAACAAGGCAAAAGGACACGGCCATGTAGCCATTCAAGGAGAAGGCATTTATGTATAGGACTGCTCACTGCCTCATTTTGTGGGGCGGAAAAAAATGTGATTTGTCCTCACTCTGGCAGTCAATAGGCACCTGGTTTGGAAAAGCAGCTATAGCAATCTCCACTTGGAATCCTGTTGGAAATCTGATAATGCGAGAACAGCTTAAATTAAACGCCATAGCTATTGAACACCTCGGCAACCAAACAAGCAAAGGACTAAAATTATTATCAGATAAAATTGAAGAGATACGTGTGTATGTTATGCAGAATAGATTAGCTCTTGATTACTTGTTAGCAAAAGAGAATGGTTTTTGTAGTTGGTTAGATGAGTCACAATATGGTTCTATGTTTAAAAATAAATGTTGCATGGAGATTAAGTCAATTAAACAAAATGTAAGTGATGTAATTGAGAATACTGAGTAAATTGTAACAAATGTCAGGGAATCGCGCACCATTTTCAGACTGAAATGGCTAGCCTCATGATTTGGTTTAGAACGATACAAAGAACTTTTTGTTTCCATTTTTATTACATTCATAACATGTATTGTTTGCCTTGATCTAGGATGCGCTGTTTTAAAAGCCTGTACAAAATGTATTGTTGCACAAGTGCTTCTCGTCAAACGGAAATCTTTACTTGGCACCAATAAAGGTGGCAATGAGGACGAGAAGGAGGTATAATCAGTGGCGTTTAGGCCGCTCGGCCATGGCCACGGGGGCATGTTGTAAAGGAGGCTTTTTCTGTCCATGGCCTTCGCGTATAGCCCATTCTGCCACTCAAGGCCCCTCACAGAAAACCCAGACTGTGAGATACTCAGAGAAGCATAGGAAGCACAATGCAGCTTTCTGTAAATGGAATTTGGCCTTGTAGGCATCATAGAACAGGGAGGTAAGCATGAAAAAATAGAACACAGCTACAAGAGATAAATAAGACTCTCTTGACCAGTCCTTGAAGGGAGGGAGGTAGGCATAGGGAGATAAGACGCACCTGCCATGCACACTGACCATGCCCACACCCAGCACTGTCCACGAGGCCATCAGGCGGACATCATGAAAAATCCTATAGGGCAGTATTTCACGTTACCTCATTACCAGCCTATCAGGCCCGGCCAGGGAACTGACCCTAATAAGGTACCAGATATCAGGTTATGTTATAAAAGACCCTCAACCCCTTTGTTCGACGGAGGTTCCGTGTATTGAGGGCACGTTTTTTTTACCCAGCTAAAGGATTGATCACCCTGAGGCTGCCTTCCCCACCCTTCGAGTCAAAGATAAGGGTGCGCGAGTCCTGAGCATGCTCTGAGTTTTCGTATGTCTTCATGTTGTTATCGTTGCTGGATTTGTAAGTATTGCTTAAATGTATTGGTTATTAGTTTAATTAATAGTTAAATTGTGTTAATTTCACTGTGTAATTCTGTAAAGTGTATCTAAGTTCTGTTAACCACATTGTGTAAATTGTATAATTTTGTGTTGTGTAGTAGTGTTGTATTTAAGCTAAGTATAAGTGTTAGAAAGAGAAGCCCAGGAGTTGTTAAGTTGTAAAAGTAGATTTATGACTAACTCCACCAGCTGCCCTAAAATAACCATAGAGGGGCTGGCTTTTGATGGAATTTTTATTATCATTATATTAGCTTTGCTTTTGTATTTTTTGTTTGCATGCTGCGCTGCCTTAAGCAAATTATAGACAGTAATTTGGTATAGTGATAGAAATGTAGCCGTGTAAGTCTGGTGTAGCTGAAACAAAATACAGGACTATGTAGCACTTTAAAGACTAACAAGATGGTTTATTAGATGATGA